TGCTAGGTCCGATTTTTCCAAGCTCCTGGCTCCATCAGGGATCTAGTTCCTGTTTCTCTACTATGCACAGGACCTGTGTCCTTATATCATCACACAAATATTAAAACTGCATCCTCTAAGATGTCTTTCTTTTTGGGTTATATCACCTCCCCCCCAACTCTCACTAACTGCTGTGGGTTCCTTCCTATTTTTGACATCTGAAATTTCCTCCTTTTTGCTTTTGAGCTTGGCAATATATTAAAGATATGTTTAAAAACAATTTATTCAGCATTTTTATATGTTTGGAGTAGAAAGGCAGTCCTTACTAATACTCAGCCAAGTCTGCCATCTTGATTGTAAGTTTCTACTTACTTTTTAAACCCATTATAATTTGGCTTCTTCCCCACTATTCCATTGAAAATATTTCTACTAAGGTCTCAAATGACCAGCTAATCATTAGGCCCAGTGGGCATTTTCCAGTGTTTATAGTGTACAGCCTACGATGCTGTTCTCCACTCTTCCCATTTAAACACTGCCTCCCTCCTCCCAGGCTTGTACAAAACTGCTTCTCCCATTTCTCCCCACTTCCAAACTGCTCCTTCTCAGTCTCCTCTGAAGGCTATAAGCTGGTGATTTCCAATCTCTGTCTCCACCAACTGTTTCTCCTGGGATCTACACCTGTGTATCCAACTGCCTATTTGACATTTCTCTGCAATGTCCCTCCGGCACCTCAACCTTTTCAAAACTGAATACAATTTTCCCTAAATCTATTTTAACAAGTGAAGAAGAGTAGAGTGTTATTTTTATTGATCATGAACTTCAAAGGAGATATTTTACATGAATGTAGAAGAGTAGTGGTTTGGATATCATAGTGACAAACCGAATGAATTGTCATCTTGACTTCTGGCTTCTAGGTACATGGGCTCTGGCAGACAAATGTCTTCCAAAGGAGTGGAGTCTACAGGACTCCAAGAGCTTAGGAGAGAGCCAAGTCTCAGTTAAGAGGAGGCAGGCAAGCTTTAGTGAAGTTTTCTGACAAAGACAAACTGTAGTTTATTGACAAAGAAAGCAAGATTTAGAGGCACAATCAAGAGAGAGAAGTAGCTGAAAGGAGAGAAATCGTAAAGAAGCTAAGCACTCACTAAGTGTTTATCGAGCTTCTTGAGGGCAGGTGCCAAATATAACCATCTTTTCATCCTTAGAACCTATCCCAGCATCTGGTATATGCTAGACTCTGAGTAAACGTTTTCTATAATAAAATGAGACTGTTGTAAATGGCTTTTAGTTATTTTCCATGAGGGAGAATTGGTAAAAGATCCTGTTCTCTTTTGATAAGAGGAAATGACAAAGAAAGATAACAGCTTTGGGCATTTAGAAGGATATAACCTAATTCTACAAACATTTAAAAATGCCCATTGGGTTAGCCCAGTTGAGTGTAACACCCACATCAGTGCATCCTTTCCCTCTAGTCAATTAGATTCATGGATTATGATTCTCATTGAGGCAGATTCTCTTCCTTCTCACAACACTTGAGGGGAGATACCTATAACACAGAACAGATCTTTCCAATGGATATGGCCTGCCCAACTCTCTTTCTGTAAGTCTATTAGAAAAGAAATTTTAACAGAAATTACATATAATAAAAAGTCAGTCATTGAGTTATAGAAGCTGAAATTTTCCATGCTGCATATTCCCCCTCTTTTAGATATTTTGCTCATGATAGCTGAGTAGGTGAAGTCACCTCTAGGTTCAGTTTCTCCTGATGATGCTAATTGTTTGCTAACCATGAAGCGTTCCTGCTTGCTCATTCCAGCTCCCATAGGCAACTCTCCTATGTCTAAGGGACTCTCGGCTTTCTGAAATCTGTCCTGTACACCTCATGGTCTTGATAAAAGGAAAAAATGTAATTCCTGTTTTTGCATGATGCCGTTTGCCCCCTCTGGCATTGATTCCTCTTCATTTGATAGATCTTTGTTTGGCATAGAGATTTTCCTTTCATCTCCTGGACTCTTTTCCCAGCCAGTCTGCAGGCCCCCATCTCCACGCTCTCTCTACATGCCTCCATCACTATCCATTCCTTTTGGCGACTCACTAATTGCATCATAGCTTAATCACATTTATGAGAACAAAGGTTGGTAAAGTTCACCTTTGTTTCAAGGAGCTCACCATCTATTGTGTGATACAGACATAAACACGTGACAATGGAGGGGTAAACAAAATGAGAGAGGACGGGAGGAGAACCACTGAGAAGAAGGGAAGGCTAGAGACATCCACGTAAAATTTTAGAAGTTTTAACTTCAGACTCTATATCCTTCTTGGTAGAAGTTCTAGAGAGTTGTAGCCCACTTTCTGCAGGAGGGGACAGAAGCAGTTTAATTGGAATTCTGGTCACAGTCATTTAAAGCTGTTCCTTGAAAAGAAAAGTGGCTTTGCCTGTTATGTAAAAATACAGGGGCTCTCAACTGGTCTGCGAAGGCACATTGGTGTATTGTGAATCCTTCACAAAGTCGTTACCAAGTTTTGACAAATTTGTAAGATTAAAGTTTGCTCTGACTGAGATGCCTACATTACAGTGATAGATTGCAGACAGAACTTTAAGCTGAGCTGGTCCTGGAACTGAATGTAGAGTAAGGAACAGAAGGTGGCAAGTAGGAGGTACGAACTATAGCGTACTGTCAAACCAGCCCCCAGAAAGATGGTGTGTTTACTGAACATGCACAACCTTGGCCTGTGAATATCAAAGAGAATGTGGACAGGGCAGACGACGACTCTATTCCCTCAGTCAGACAGTGTTGAGGGTCTGCCAAGGGAATGGGGGAATGGCTGGATGTGCTTTCGTAGACACTGTGAGATGCCAACACATGGAGTAGTGATGGTGGTTAGAGATTGCTGACTTTTTAGTGTTGTTTTGGGTCTTTTAATCTGTTCAAGTGTGCCGCTGAAAATTATAGTATTCAAAATGGTGCCAACACACAGACACACGGAGTGTGTGCTAAGAACCACTGTAGTAGTACATTTAAAATTAAAATGGAAAATAATTCCTTGTTTCTTTTCCTTATCAGATAGCCTACCAAGGCTTTAACATCTCTCACCTCAAATGAATATCATCTGTTTCCTTTTTATCTGAGCCACAGAACATGAAAGCTCATTAAAATCCGAGAAATTTTATTAACTCTCTATGACAGTTTTTCCCTCCTTCTTTTCTTTATCTTCCTTTCACAAGCAGGATTATGAGGTTGCTTGATGGGTTTTTAATATTGTCATGAATAATCTCCCCTTGGGCATGTTTGTGCAGTAGATAACATAACCGTAACAGGCTTATTCAAATAATTTTATTCAAATGAAGTGGGCAGACACCACCCAACCAGCTCAGCACCAAATATATTTCAGAATAAGTTGTCTTCAACCACCATTTGTTATCTCATTTGTAATAGAACAAAGAACCACTAGACGGAGCTAGGGTTTAAGAAATCACATCTCTAAGTTGGGTGACTGATGTGATGGGTAGAATGTTATCTTATGGAAAAAGTGTATCATTACTTTCATTTCAAAGCTTATGCAAGCCTTACCTAGCTCTGCTAACAGCCGGTCATCTGTTTACTTTGTGTGTCTACACAAGATGAGACAAAGGGTGATGTTTGTGATGGCCCAATTTATTTAGTCACTCTAATGATGACGTCTGACCTCGGTATAGCACTTTACAATATAGAGCGCTGTCCCTACATAATTACATTTGATTTCCACAGCAACTCTGAGAGATTGTTGGGCAAGAATTAGTTCTTCTACTTTTGAGATTAATGAACCCAGACAGGGTATCTGCAATACATTAGGACAGGTCAGGATGGTTAATCCAGACAATTGAGGTTGCAGGATCAGTTTTTCTCCTCTTACATTTTTGTGTTGACTGTTGACCCAACCTGGAACTAAGTAGAAAACTGTCAACTCATTCCTTTTGTGTGGCACAGACTTCGTCTCTGGCCACACCCACTGGGGACGAGTAGTAAAAAGACAGGTAAAGAACTCTCCCAACGTAAGTGAACAAAGACGGGTTGTCTGAGCTCCTGCCCAGAAACTTCTGTGTACGTGATTCTTCGTTATACCAGGGGGCAGGTGTGTAGACCAGCACCCCATCCCGTGCGGTGTGGACCGTCCTTCAAGCCAATGCTGGTTGTTAATTAATGTTAAATGTGCGGGGAGTTGCTCGCCCCGCCCCTCTACCCCAAGCATTTGCCCTCAGAGACAAACTCACCGTTTTGATGTGTCAGTTTGCTCCTGTTTCCTAACCTTACACACTGATCATAACAGACTGTGCTTCAGCTAAAAAAGTTATGTAAATATACCTATATTTTCTCTGCCTTCAGGTAAAATATTAGCTGAATAAGAGTGGAAATCAGGTCAATCAAAACTTATCAAACATCTGGAGCCGGCATTTGTGCCTTTAGTCATCTTTAAAAACAACCCAAGACAGCTCTTCTGGAGCTCAGTCAGTCAGTCACTCTGCAAGTCTGACCCCCTGCAATACAACTTCATAAATTACTGGTGAAACACTGGCTTCAGAATCAAGGTTGGGGCAACTGTCACAAATGAGTCTAAGAAACTTTAGAGGGAGGCAGGAAGGTGTTCCAAGAGCCTCAGAGGTCCCAGGGGCTTCGGCCTGAAACAGAGCAAAGGAAGAAAGTAACATCATCAAGCTCCCCCAAGACTCGGGGTAACCTTGTTGGGAGTGCATCCACCAAGAAAGCTGCTCAGAAGGCCCCCCTCTCCACCCAGCCCAAGACGCATCTTGAGCACATTTCCCAGATGTGCCCAGAGGGTGGCGCTGCCAATCCAGCCTTGGCCCGCCGCCGCCCGCTGCTTCTCGGGGCGCTGCGGGAGCCCTCCGCTCGGTCTCCCGCAGGCCGGCGGGGGCACGCGCCCGGGAGGGGGCGCCACCGGTCCAGGCGCGGCGGCTCCCTCCGCCCACCCGGAGGCGTCTGCGGCGAGGCGAGCCCCGCGCGAGTGCACTGCGAGGCGGGCCGCAGGGAGGGAGGCGCGAAGAGGGCGCGAGGGTGGCAGCTGGAGGGAGCCGCCGCCCCTGCCCGCTCAGGTCCCCGTGGGGCGCATGGGGCGCTTCGAGGCGGGATCGCGCGCGGGCCTCGCGCCCAGCCTCCTGCTGTCTTGAGAAGCCGCGCCGGGACGCCCCCCAGACCCCGTGCTGCCGGGAGGATGACCATGGCCGGGGGCAGGAGGGGACTGGTGGCTCCGCAAAACACGTTTCTGGAGAATATTGTCCGCCGGTCCAATGGTAAGAGGTGCATTCGAATTTCGGTTACCCAGGCTTTTTATCCGTGCCTTTATTGCAGCCGCCTCCCGCCGCTCGCGCCAGCAGATGCAGCAAACCCCAGAGCTCTGCTGGGAGCCGCGGCGCGGGCGCCCGGGGCTGTCTCCCGGAGGCTGGGAAAGGTGGGCAGGGCGGGGCGGGGTCTGATGGGCCCCCATCCCAACAGGAGAGCTCTCCTCGGGACGCCTTTTGGGCTTTTCTCGCGCCTTCTCGATCTCATCTCCAGAGAGCGCGACAGCTGATGAGCAAAGTACTGGGAAAAGTGATGGGAAGCTGGATGCACCGGGAGCGACGGCGCATTCCCCGTCGCTACTGCCCACCCCTCCGCGAAGGCTCTCGGGGCTCTCCGGCTGCTCCCCAAGGTGCCGCGTCTGTAGAGACGGCAACTCCGGGTCCCGGCCCCAAGGGATGGGAGGATGAGGCTGCCTCCACCTCCCGTCCTGGCAGCTGAAAAGTCCGAGGTGCAGGGATGTGGGGACTTAGGGTCGTGCTGCAAGGCTACCTGATTCCACCTCTTCACTCACCCGCTTCGAGGTTAAGTTAAGGCTCACGAGGGGCAGAGTTTCCTGGACTCAGCTGGGAATTGGAGGGCACAGGTGCAGAGTTGGCCAAGCGGTCACAGGTACAAACCTGTCATAGTTCCTCTCTTCCAAACCACAGTACTGTTTTATGCCTATAAATCTTGTTCACCTATAAATTCCCAAACTCACCAAGCCTGTAAATCTATTACTCAATAAACCAGTGCTCCCCGCTCCTCTCTTTCCCTGTGGCATTAAGATGGACAGTAGCTTGAAGCGCTGGGAGGCGAGAGTCCTAGGAATGGGGATAGACAGGGAAACATTTTGAGTGCCTTTAGGACCCACAGCAGAGCACCCCGGCTAAAGCACTTGCAGAGCAAATAGGAGCCCGGCGGTTGGAAGGTGCAGTGCACACCCGTACGTCACTCGGCTAAAATGAACCGGGGGGCTGAGCCTGGAGATGCTCTTTGCAGGCTCCTGGACCCCTCTCCTTCCAGAGACAGACGACATTCTTCTATTAGCAGGACCTGAAGTGCTAACTCAGGAAATGGGTTTTAAAAATGTGTAAATATCACAGTTTCAGAACCTTACGGAGCTTGTATTAAAACTGTGGGCTTCTATTTGGATTTAGTTAGGAATTGAGGGGAAGGGCATGAAAAGTGACTTATTCTACTAGGAAATAGTCTTTAATTAAAAAATGATTTAAGTTTATCTTATAATAAAAAACTCATCAACTGGGATAGCAAATCATCGTGTGTTATTTAAACACTTTCTTAGAAATGGTCATTGATCGTGTGCCTCTTAAGGAGAGTATCGAAGAGTTTCTGGTCAGTCACCTTTCTCTTCAAGGTCTTCCTCACTTAAACTAAGTAGGGTGGCTTGTACAACAAGGTCACAGCTATCACCTGGGGATGCAAGGTGATGATAAATACTACATGAACAGCCACCATGAACTCTTCTGCCATAAAAAAGCTGGAGGTGTTCATAGATTTTTAAATAAAATCACTAGGTAAGAGTTAATGTGCTGTGATTGCTGTTGCTATCGGCCTGTTAGGGGGTATGGAGACAGTCTTGCAGATTTGGAGATCCCATTGCCAGTGACATCCGCTTTCTCATAAATATCAATGACAATTTCATTTTTTGGTGAAGAGGCAGTGTCCTTTAAGTTAGAGGGGAAACCCTGTATCTAATGTATACCATGTTATGTTTTTGACTGGGAAGGGCAGTAACAGAATCTTACATGTAACAGTTACAAGGTTCCTTGGGCTTGTAGGAGGACCTTAAGAATCCTGGAGCTGATACTACAATTAAAAAAAAAAAACAAAAAAACCCCCTAGAGCTGAGAAGGCAGGATATCTTCTAGTTTAGTGGGTCTTCTTAGAGCCACTTCCCCTCTGTAAGCATATATAGAATGTCAGTCGAATAAGTAGCTGGGAATATTTTTAGCGCTGGCATTTTAATCTGACTGTTGGTTAATTGAAGTCAAGCACTGGCTTCAATTAACCAGCCAACCAAACAACATCAACAACAAAAACAAAACATCTTGGGAGAGTTGGATGAACTTTTAAAATTACCTATTATTTCAGAAGAAAAGATTCTGATCCTGAAATGTGGGATTTAAGTTTTTAGTGATCCCTTTCATCGTATTTCCTGAACACGAATAGAAAAAAAATGTGGATTCTTGGAAATATCACAATATCTACATGCATTATATTATTTTACTGTGATGGAAAAAGTCTATTTAAAAATATTGATTGTCTCCTCCTAAAATCCACCAGCCTTTTTTTGGACATTACAGTATTTGAATAGCATTTTACCTTTAAATAGCAATACTTTTTGGTCATTTCATTAGGTATTTTCTCCCAGTGGTCGTATGCAGTATTATTGCTCCTCTTTTACAGACCAGAAAACTGAGTCCTAGAAATATTAAGTGACTAATTCAAAGTGGCAGGCAGACAGTGCCTGAGGCAGGAGTTCTTTAGAGAATGTCATTCATCCTTCTTGTAGCATCATTGTTTCTTCAGCGCGTATCACTTAGCCTGTGGAGCTGTTTTCATCATCCTTGAAAAAATAACTCTTATTATATGCTAATGGATAATAGAACTGGGGGGCATTTGAATATTTAATGTCTGGAATATCATAGAACTGTAGGATGAAACAGACCTCAGATGCTATCTAATCTGCCTCTCTTTCCCCAGCACTGTGTAGATGAAGAAATTGAGGCAAGCACATTTCCTCAAATATTTAAGGGCAGAACTGATGAGACTCCAAGCCCCTTGGCCCCCGTGTCGTGTTCCTGATGGTACACCGTGCAATGACTTTCCTTGCATTACCAATATTTTCTCTAGAGAAGCATAATTTCCCAGTGGAGGTTAAATAAAATGTTATAACAACAAGAACAACATCCATTTTGGCTAACAGCCACATTACTACATCTAAACAGAATAACAGGGCAAAGGAGAAGCTAATTCTGTTTTAAGGAAGGGCAGTATTTTTACCTTTGTTAATGGTTTAGCTGAAGGCAGAGGCAGGAGAATGGCCACTTGACCTTTGTGTGCCTGTTACGAAGTATTAAGTCACTTTTCACAGAATATCACCTTTGATCCTCATAAGTCAGCAAAGGAGGTAACTGTGTCTCCATGTTAGTTTCAGGAACTAAGAATCCTCAGGTCAAGTAATTTACCTACAGTTAGTTACTAAGAGGCAGAGTTAGAAAAGGCAGTTAGAGGCAGCTCAGGGACTAGCCAGCAGTTGTGACTGGTTTGTTCATTCAACAAAGATTTATTGAGTTTATTTATTGACCACTGGAATACAATGGAAAACAAGAAACTCTCCTTATGCTGAGTAAGTTACATTCTAGTGAATTTTGGTCCAAGGTTCTTGCCCTTATGTTACAATGTTTCCTGGGTGTAACTCTTATTTAGGCCTGACATTATATTTTAAAAATACATTTTTAAGATGTTTACTGGTCTTGATGGGACTGAAATCTAGTTTAACTTTAATACATTCTGAATACCACTTGAAGGAGAGACTTGATAATTATCTGTTTGTTGGATAGTTATGAGTAGTCACCAGGAAAAATTAATGCCCCAAATTTGATTTGATTTTACTTATGGTCACGTTGGTGAACATTTCAAATCTTTCTATTGACTTCGTTGCCACATAGGCAAAGTCAGCCTGTATATTCATAGTTGGAAAGTGTTGTTCCAGAATATTTTTTGATGGTTGCTTAAATCTGCAGGCACTTACTGTCAGAATGCTTGCTGAAGCAAATAGGAAATCTGTCTTAAGAAGGCTGGCAGACCTTAGTGCCAGAAAACTATGAAAATATTACTCTAACTGGTCCCATTCTAGGCAGAACATATGTTTTAGTGTTCGGAAACCTATAGCAAACAATTGTAGGTGCCAGTAAGAATCCATGCACGTTAGCAAGAGTGAAACGCAGCACATTTTGGTGCAGATTTATGTACATGTATAATTTACAGATTGCTAAATCAGCTGTGTTTTTTATAGTGTTAAGTTGGTTCAGGTTGTTGATATAATTAGTTAGCAAACAGGATGAGAGCTGCGGGTAATGTTGTGTCTCCTCATTGATATGTTGAGCCACAGTAATATTTATAAAACAGAGAACCGGTTAAAAGCCATTGTTGCTCTGAAAGGGGAATGGATGATAATCTGGATTATTACCAGCTCAGCAGAGCTTGTTTTTTCTTCTAATATTTTCTAAGATAACCTTCAGCCAAGGCTTGGCTGTCTTTCTCTGCAAGTGTTAAAAAGTGAAATGTGTTGATTGATCTTAGCTGGAGAATTGAGAGGAGGAAGCCTTGTGATTTAATGTAGGCAATAAAGTTTCCAAATTCCCTGATTTTTATGAAATCCATCTATTTTAATAATCTATCATAAAAGAATAGATGCATTTGAGGAACACTGTGGGTAAATTGAATCTTTGGCTTCATTCTCTCTGACACCAGCTCTTCATTTATGATTGGACTTCATTTGGCAGTGGTTTCTCCAGCATTACCTTGAAGCTCCTCAATTCCTCCTCCTCTTTATTTTTGGTTAGTTAATGGCTTGTAAACAAACATTTAAAATATACCTTAGTTATTTATTCAAAGGAACCCTTTTCATAAAGTGAGTATCTGCTTTATACATTTAGGATATTTGGACCACGGTTTGTTTTTGTTTTTTTAGTTTTTCTCTTTGAGTGGCCACACCTATAACTGGTGAGAAAGAGAGGCATGGAATCTTTGGTCTGAAGGGACATTCTTTACAATTCCTTTTCCAGTGTTTGAATCCTCTCCAGAACATCCCTCCCAGTGGTTATCCAGCCCGTGCTTGAATAGCTTCAGGGATGGAACACTCACTTTCTTACAAGAAATGTTCTGTTTTTAGGCATCTATAGTTGTGAACTAGTTCCTTTTCTTTTCTCCTTTCTTCCCTCCCCCT